CGGCGGCGGCGGCGGCGGCCGCCGCGGCCGCGCATGCCAAGGCCTGGGGGGGGCAGCTGCTGCCGCAGGCGTGGCGTCCCTCGCCGCCGCCTGCCGCCGCAGCAGCCACCGCCCGCCACAGGCTGCCGCCGCCGCCGGCAACCCTGCCAGAGCCGCCTGCTGGCGCCGCCGCGTTCAGGCAGATGCAGACACACATGGGGCATGCAGCTGGCGGGATGGACCTTGATGCCGCCAGCGGAGGCAGCAGCAGCAGCCCAGCGGCAGGTGCAGTGGCAGCAGGAGCAGCAGGAGGATCAGCAGCAGCGGAGGCATCGGGAGGAGGAGGAGGAGAGGAGGCAGCGGGGATGCCTGCTGGCCTCCTGGCCGGGGAGGCAGGAGTGGGTCTGACGCCTCGCGGCGGCTACGCGGCAGCCGGGGCTGTTGCAGGCGCAGGCGCAAGCGGCGGCGGCGGAGGCGGAGGCTTCCTGTTTCTGCAGCTTCACCAGCATCCCCAGCATCCCCAGCAGGGGCAGCAGCAGCAGCAGCAGGGGCAGCATCGGGGCGAGCTGTCGGCTGCCAGTGGGGGCGAGGCGCCGCTGCCACCGCTGCCGCCCGGCAGCCGCCACGCCATGCCCCGCCCGTCGCTGCGGCACGCCGTCACCCTCAACGTGCGCGCCGGCCCTCTGCTGGGCCAGCTGCCGCCGCCCTCCCTTGCTCAGCAGGCTGCCGCCGCCGCTGCTTTGGAAAGCGCGGCGGGTGCCGCAGCAGCCGCCGCGGGCGGGCTCGGCGGGCCGGGGCCGCCGCGCGAGCGGCGGCATTCCTTAGTGGCGGGAGAGGAGCGGGCGCTGCGGCCGCTGGGGCCGGAGGACTCTTTAAGTTATGCCGCTCGCAAGGCCGGGCCAGCGGGGCTGCGGCACGCGTGGCACGACACCTTGCATGGCACCTGGGGGGGACCGGCACCCGCGCAGCATGCGGCGTGGCAGCAGCAGGAGTATCAGCGCAGCACAGCGCAGTTCGCTGCCGCCGCGCAGCACGGCGCACAGCACGGCGCGGGCCCAGAAGGCAGCAAAGCGGGAGAGGCGATAGCGGAGCGGGGGCAGGTTCCAGTGGCTGCCGCCACCGCCGCGGCCAGCGCCAGGCATGGTGCGCCGCCGCCGCAGCAGCAGCAGCAGGCCGGTCACCAGGAGGAGCAGGGTGGTGGCGTCACAAGGGCGGTACAACCCCACACAGCCCAGTACCACCCCGCACAGCACGCAGCCCTGGGCTGCAGCCGCATCCCGCCGCCGCCCAGCCCCCACCCCGGCAGCCCCCACCTGGGACACCCTGCCGCCGGACTCGCTCCTCCCAGGGCCAGCACCCCAGCCGAGGGCGGCCAGCGCGGACCGGCCGGCAGCGGCGGCAGGCGGCGGCAGGCGGCGGGGCGCCAGACGCGCACCCCGCCCCGCAGCCCCAGGCTGGATGGCAGCGGCACCACCCTCTCGCCCGACCCGCGGCGCGGGCAGCACCCTCAGTCCCCCCAGCAGCCTCGCCAGCAGCAGCAGCAGCAGCAGCAGCAGCTGCGGGGCAGCGGCGCGTGGTCACCCGTGCGCCACCCGGCGGCGGCGGCGGCGGCGGCGGCAGCGGCGGCGGCGACGGCGGCGGCACCCAGCCAGTCCCAGGCCGCTGCCCCGCGGCGGCAGGCGGGCCCCTGCGTGGCGCCGGCCAGCCTCGGCACGAGCTCCAGGCGCTCGCCTCCCCGCGCCGCGCCGGCATGCCCTCGCCGGTGGCACCCGCAGCCGGCTCGCCGTCCCGCTTGGCAGACCTGGCAGGCGGCGGCGGCGGCGGCGGCGGCGAGCGGCGACGCGGGGCGCAGCCGCGGCATGGCGCGGCGGCGCGGGCGGTGCCGGCGCAGGCGTGACGCGGCTGGCTGAGAGAAACTGCCACGACGTGACTCTGGGTACCATATCATATGGTGCAGGCCCCGTGACTTGAAGGCTACGCCAGCTGACTGACTCCTCTGCAGTGCCTGTGACTGTGACTGAGCGTACGATTCCCTGAGCTGAGCTGAGCAGAGCTGACGAGCGCAGGGTTGTAGCAGGGCGGCAGCTGGCCGCTTGCGGGCGGCTTGAGGCCGCCCGCCCAGCCCGCGCCGCCGGGCGTGAGTGACGCGGGCAGGACGGGGGGAGGCGGTTACACGCGGGCGGGGAGTGACACGGGGTGGGGCACAAGCTGCTGCTGCTGTGGTGGTATGTGCAGAGCTTGGCAGCCTCCAGCAGAGTGGAGCCTTGTGGGGGCGCAGGGTGCCGGCGCGGCGCTGGCAGGGCATGCCGCCGCGGCCCTCGCCTCACCCCGCTGGCATCCCCCGGCTGGCATCGCGCGGCCGGGCGTTCTCCCCGGCGCGGCAGAAGCCGAGCGCTCAGCTGGCAAACTTGCCCAGGCCGGCGTCGACGAGCTTCCGGCTGCAAGGGGGGAGGGAGGGTCAGGGGGAGATCAGAGCAGGGGGAGGGGGCCCACAGCGACGGTCAGGGCCGGCGGCGCACACGGCGGCGGGCTGGGCAGGCAGCCTGGCGCAGGGAAGGGTCTGGCGTTCAGCTGAGGGTGCCTCCCCCCCAAAGCGGGCAGGCCGGGCTGCAGGGTCCCCCACTGCACGGGCCGAACAGCAACAAGGCAACAGCAAACAAAAACAACAACAACAACAAACAAACAAACGCAACGAAGTCAAAAGCAGCCCCGCTCACCGCTCGCCGGCCTTGGACGCGCGGCGGTCCATCCCCGCCGCCAGCTCCCGCTCCCGCCGCACCGTCAGCAGCTGCGCGATGCGGCGCTTCAGCGCCTTGTAGTCAGAGGGCTTCCAGTCCTGCGGGCGGGGGGTGGCAGGGGCGTGTGTGTGCATGTGGGTGCGAGGATGTGTGTGGGGGGCGGGAGGTGGGAGGGAGGCATGGGAGGGCAGCATGGGAGGGCAGCATGGGAGGAGGCGGAGCGAGGGAGCGGGCAGGCGGTGGGGTAATGTGCGTGTGTGCGTGTGCGTGTGCGTGTGCGTGTGCGTGTGTGTGTGCTTGTGTGGTGGCGTGTGCGGGCATGGCGGCAGCAGGGAAGAGCAGGGAGGGCAGGGAGGGCAGCGGGGTGGGAGCCAGCCGCTGGGATGGCAGGGCCCCGACCGGCAGGCGACTTTTTCGGGAGCGGCGGCAGGCGGCAGGCTGGTGTGGGGCATGCGCGGCAGGCCGGCGGCGGCAGGCAGGGGGGGCGACGGCAAACAAGCTTTTGTGCGCTCAGAACTTCTTAGAGGGTTGGTTTGCCCGCACCGCGGCGCCGCCTGGGCGGGCCGGCCTCGGGACCAGGGTGTGTGCTCCTCACGGCGCGCGCGGCGGCACGGCGCCGGGCGGCAGCGGCGGCGGAGCAGCTCGCCCGCAGGCGCGGCAGCGGCAGCGGCGCAGCCGAACCAGCCAGGCGACTGCACCACCACCACCACCACCACCCGCAGCCGCTGCCGCTGCCGCGATTCCCAGGCTACAGGCAGAGCGTCTGGCGTCAGGCAGCGTCTGGCGGCAGGCGCCGGCACGCAGCAGGCGGAGGCACACGGCAGGCAGGGACTTGCCTCGCGCTTGGCAAACTTGATGCGCATGGAGAACATGTCCCGCTTGGCCTCCTGTACCGCCGAGTCGATCTCCTCGTTGCTCAGCCCGCTGCGGGAGGAAAGCGGAGGCAGCAGGGAGAAGGGCGAGGTCGGCGGCGGGGTCGGCGGCGGGGTCGGCGGCGGCGGGCGGCCGAGGGGCGCGAGGGGGCACGCCGCATGGCCCTCCGCAGGTGGCCTAACGGCGGCGGGGGGCGTCCAGGGGACAGCAAGGGCCGCAGCGGCTGCATGCGAGCCGGGAAGCAAAGCGATGCACGGGGCACAGGCGCACACCACTCTGAAGGCCGGGCGGCGTCCCGAGCCCCATCCCGGTGTACCCGCAACGCACCGGAACTCGCCCGCCTTTGTGGGCTTGGCCATGGCCACCGCCTGCATCGCCCGTGCCGCTGGCCGCGCAGGTAGGCGCACTGCCGCTGCTGCAAAGGGCTGCCGGGCAATGGCGGCCTTGCTGCTGAGCGCCGTGGCGCTGCTGCAGGCGGCGAGGAGCGCTGCCATTCTGCTGCGGCTGGTGGGGGCGCTGGGAGGGGGCGGATATGTATTTATGGCGCGCCGCAGAGGCTTACGGGGTCAGCAAACGTGCAATACGCGTCGGTGAGTGGCGCCTGGTGGCTGGGTGGCCGGATGAACGTCGGAAGAAAGCGGCCAGCTTTCGGCGTCAGGGGCGCAATGGGGCGGCCGTGCGCAGTCCACCGGACCCGGCAACACTTTCCGCATATCCAGCAGCCCCCAGGCCCGCCATCGGCACTGCATCGCCCACTCCTGCGTGCCACCGCCTCCCTGGGCACTCCGCGGCTCCTGTCGGTGACCGCTGGCGACATCGATCGCCCACAGGGCTTCACAGGCCTGCGCTGCATATGCGCAGCGAGCGGTAGGCGTCCAGCCAGCGGCAGAGCAACCCATGCAGACGCTGCTGCTTGGCAGGGCGCAGCCCCTGCTGTCGGGAGGATGCCGCGCCAGCGGTGGCAGCGGTAGCCGCAGCGGCAGGGAGCTGCCCACCGCCAGCGCGGCCCACCGCCTCCCCGCCAGCAGCAGCAGCTGCTGGCCCCGGCAGCGGCCTCCTGCGGCGCCCCTGCGGGCCAGCAGGCGAGCGCTGACCTTCCGCGTGGCATCCTATAGCAGCAGCAGCGGCAGCGGCGGCAGCAAAGGCGCAGACGCCCCGTCCCCCGCAGCGCCGCCGCCGCAGGCACACACATCGCCGCGGCAGCACAAGTGGCTGGCGGGCGCTGCGTTGGCCGCCGCCGCCCTGTGCCTATCCGCGCGGCCCGCGCACGCGGCCGATGGCGGCACTGGAGGAAGTATGGGCGGTATCCCAGGCCCGCCGCCGCCGCCCGCCAGCTCAGCTGCCCAGCAGGCCTCGCCCTCGTACCAGGCCGCCGCCGCGCGGCAGCAGCAGCAGCAGCATCCCTGGCAGCAGCAGCAGCAGCAACAGGGGCAGCAGGGGCGGCGGTGGCGGGACACCGGCATCCAGCTGGCAGCCAAGGAGTCTGGCGGCGGCGGCGAGAAGGTGGGTGCAGGGCCGGGCCGGGGCTGGCAGGGAGGGACTGTGCAGGCAGGGAGGGAGTGTGAGGGGGCTGGCCAGCAGTGCCCTCGCCTTGGCTGCAGGGCACAGCACCCGCCGTGCGCGCCTCCCCTACCTGCCTCTGGCTGCTCGCCCTCCTCCCACCCCTTTACACCTCCCGTCGTCCTCCCCCTCCTCACATCCTCCCTTGCCTCCCGCCTCCCACCCATCCATCCCGCCCCCCGCGCCGCCCTCCGTGCCCCCCCTGCTCATGCCGCCCGCATATACCGCATCCCGCACTGCCTCCGGTACCGCGCAGGTGGTGTACGTCACGCCCGAGGAGCTGGCGCAGCAGGGCAACGCCGAGGTGAACCGGGTGCTGGAGGCGGCGGCGGTGGGGCCCAAGGAGGCGCGGGCCATCAAGCGGGCGCAGCGTGAGTGTGTGTGTGTGTGTGTGTGTAGTGTGGTGGTGTGTGTGGGTGGTGGTGTGTGTGGGTGCATGGGTGGGTGGGTGTGGGAGGAGCGAGGGGATGCTTGGGAAGCGGCTGGGCCCTTGGGTGGGTGTGGGCGTGGCTGGTGATGGGCGTGGGTTGTGTGTGGGGATCGGAGCGGCTGGGTTCCGCTGCTGCGGCGGCTACGGCGGGGCTGCTGCCGCCGCCTCGAAAACTGCTGCTCGCCCGCGGCTTCCCGCCGCGGCAGCCCCGCCGCGCCGCCTGCTCCCCG